TCAGACTTTGGACAAACGTTCAAGGATTCCTCCCAGCTCGTACCAATCAAAGCTAGAGAGATCTCGAACATCTCTACCTTCAGCTGTCTGCAAGGAGATGATGTCACTGTAGTCGCTCTCCCCGGCGTGGTTGTGGGCCTTGACTCGGGCGTTGTAGATGCTGTTGAAGTGAAGGCCGTCCACTGTGCAGATCATCTCTCGACCCACGTACACCACCTGAAAAACACGTGAAATTGAAAACGTTAGATCTCTCTGCTACACGCTGTTGTTATATTACGTCTTCATGTCATTAATAACAACAAACAAACAAAGTAACAATAAATACAGGATTCAGTTGATGGAAAGGGGAGAAGAAGCAGACTAGAAAGACCTGGATACAGATCTTGCCTCACTGGAGATCCCCTAGGCATGCAACCATGATGTCCATCGCATCTGATCGCCAAAGGTAGAAGGAGCCGATCAGACAGTCAATATCAACTGGTAACCCAACGACACGCAGTGGCACGAGATGATGAAGAAGAAGATAATGATGATGATGATGAATTAGAAGAAGAGGAAGAAGATAATGATGATGATGATGATGAAGTAGAAGAAGAAGAAGAGGAATGATGATGACGATGATGATGATGAAGTAGTAGAAGAAGAAGAAGAAGATGATGATAACGAAGAAGAAGAGGATGATGATGAGAAAATAGAAGAAGAAGATGAAGAAGAAGAAGAAGAAGAAGAAGAAAAAGAAAAAGAAGAAGAAGAAGAAGAAGAAGAAGAAGAAGAAGAAGAAGAAGAAGAAGAAGAAGAAGAAATTTATGTTGATGATGAGGATGATAATGAAGATGATGATGACGATTGTGATGATGACGAAAAATATAAAGGCCCCTTTGTCAGCCAAAGGCGCATTAGGTATACGAAGGAAAGGAATCCTTTCTAGGCTTTCAGGCGTAGTGGGCATATAGGGCTAGAGCTATATTTTTTAGACCAATAGGTACTTGGTGCGTGATGTGGTCACCATCGCCTAGGCCATCTTTACTTCCCAGGACTTTACCTGGCACCCACTCAGGGAAAGGTCAACGTGGCAGCCAAGGTCATTTGTTTAACATAAAAGGTCCGGTTTCGTCAACACCCGAACCCTCGACTTTCCGATCGACAGGCGAGCGTAGATATATGAGACTAGACGCATTTTTTTTTAAATAGATCGATGGGAACTTGGTGGATGATATGGTCAGCATCACGCTGGCCGTCTTTACCTCCCATGACTTTACCTGGTATATATTTTAGGCTTGGTCGAGATGTGAGCCAAGCTCCGTTTTGGAGAACAAAGATGTGTGTTGGTGCGGGTTATATTGCAAACGTCCAACCATTTAACTGGCGCCCAACTCCCACCCTTTCCGTAAACAACTTCATAGTTTGCACAGGGTCAATCAGATAATCAGTAAATCAGTTAATCAGTAAATCAGTTAATCAGTCAATCAGTTAATCAGCCATTCATGTAATTTATGTAACGTCGCTCTCTTCGTGGCACGCTGGAAAGTATCTCTTTCGCTAACCAATTCTCCAGTTCTAGGTGGTTTCATGCGGCGTCCGTGGCTTAGGCGTTGCGAGTCCGACTCGTAATTCCAAAGTACCGAGATCGAAACCCACTGCTGGCTGCGTGGATTTTTATCATGGTATGGGGCGTAGCAGGTCGACCCAGCCTAAAATGGGTACCAGGATGTTTGTCGTGGGGAAGTAAAGACGGCCGGCGAAATGCTGACCCCATTACCCAACTAGTGCCGTTTGAACTGTAAAAATATGGGTGCTCTTCCCATATGCTCGATGCGCTTGAAGGCGTGAAAGTGGATCTTTACTTTTCACTTTTGTTATATGCTTTCATAAAGAATGCATCTGGAGTGTCCTGTATCCACTTTGGCGATTCTTGTTTCAGACATGCATCCCCCATACCTGCTCTCTCCGGACGACCATAGCGCTAGACATGTCCGAAACACCCCAGCTTTCGTGAGAGGATGCTGTTTACAAGCCAGTTCTCTTTCATATTCAGGTCATAGAGGGTGCTCGACGTTTTGCTTCTTCATAGTCTACGACAGTGATTCCCAAACTGTGCGCCGCAGCACCCTGGGGAACCGAGACCTCTTCACAGGGGCGCAACAAAATATTTAAAGATACACAAGTTTTATTATTTTTGTTTTAAATCTTACATACGAATAGTCACATTTTTACTTAGGTTAAGGCGCCGTGGAAACATTTTAATGCATCGCGACTAAGTAAAGTTTGGGAAACTCTGGTCTACGGTATTCTAAAAAATGTTTCTATACTGTTTCAGTTAAAGAGCTCCGATTTTCTTCTTTAAGTACATTTTGATGAGGATTTAAAAAAATGAAACTTGCCCTTTGGTTTGGTTCCAGTGGGACCCAGTCTAATTGAAAGTAAAGTTGACATATGATGCTGATGAAAGTCGCACAAAGCGTGCTGAATGCTCTACGAAAGAAAGCGTCTAGTATCAGTTTCCAAAGCTCCACTGCTGTAGAAAAAGCCCCCCCCCCCCCCTTTTTTTTTCCCCGTGTGTGTGTGTTTCTTTTTTACAAAACAAAACACATATTTGAACATCAATCACTTGAGCAATGCCGAGAAAACCTGCCGATAAACATAAATATCTACTTTTGCTTGAAGCTTATCAACTAATGTTTGATAACTCTACAGTTGTAGATATTGCTGAGCAGATACGACGTGATGGCGGACCGAAACTATAGTTATTGGATTGTCAGCCCAGACATCATGCGCGTAACGACCCGGCAAGTCCTTTATAGAGACAAGAGTTCAGCACCCACTAGGGCGGGATCGATACAGTTATATCCGAATCCGCGTTGACAGGGGCTTCTTGTCGGTTATACAAAGTGACTATTGGTAACTTCTTCTTGTTCTTCTTCTTCTTCTTCTTCTTCTTCTTCTTCTTCTTCTTCTTCTTCTTCTTCTTCTTCTTCTTCTTCTTCTTCTTCTTCTTCTTCTTCTTCTTCTTCTTCTTTTTCTTCTTCTTTCTTCTTCTTCTTCTTCTTCTTCTTCTTCTTCTTCTTCTTCTTCTTCTTCTTCATCATCTTCTTCTTCTTCTTCTTCTTCTTCTTCTTCTTCTTCTTCTTCTTCTTCTTCTTCTTTCTTCTTCTTCTTCTTCTTCTTCTTCTTCTTCTTCTTCTTCTTCTTTATCTTCCTATCTTCTTCTTCTTTCTTCTTTTCTTCTTTCTTCTTCTCTTCTTCTTCTTCTTCTTCTTCTTCTTCTTCTTCTTCTTCTTCTTCTTCTTCTTCTTCTTCTTCTTCTTCTTCTTCTTCTTCTTCATCTTCTTTTTCTTCTTCTTTTTCTTCTTCTTCTTCTTTTTCTTCTTGTACTTCCACTACTTCTTCTGCATTTTCTTCTTCTTCTTCTTCTTCTTCTTCTTCTTCTTCTTCTTCTTCTTCTTCTTCTTCTTCTTCTTCTTCTTCTTCTTCTTCTTCTTCTTCTTCTTCTTCTTCTTCTTCTTCTTCTTCTTCTTCTTCTTCTTCTTCTTCTTCTTCTTCTTCTTCTTCTTCTTCTTCTTCTTCTTCTTCTTCTTCTTCTTCTTCTTCTTCTTCTTCTTCTTCTTCTTCTTCTTCTTCTTCTTCTTCTTCTTCTTCTTCTTCCTCTTCTTCTTCTTCGTGTTCACTGGCTGTAAACTCCGGGGACAGTTTTGGCTGTTCGTCCACTTCTGGGCTTTGATCTTCTTGCAGAACTCGAGTTTTTGCGTACACATCTCTTTTACAGATCTAGAATGTTTATATGCAGGCTGAATCCCGGCCCCGCCCCTCCCCCTCTTTACATTCCCATACGATAAATATTTGCAAGTGGGTTGAGTGCCCCTTTCGGCACAACCATGTATTTATGTTCTGTTAAGCATTTATATATTTTGTATTATTTCAGATATATTCTTATAGTTATGTGCTATTCAGTATAAAATAATAATAATAATTAGCCCCTACAAGTTGGCCATGTCTCGACATAAACAGATTTTGAGTGAGAACATTGTAGGGAAAATTCGTAAGTCCGGCGACGATCACTGAAAGTCTCTTTACAATTGCGCTCAAAAACCGACAGCTGGAAATGGAACCCGCGACCTTTAGAGAGTAAGATCAATGATTCGACCACGTAACAGCTTAGATACACCCTCCCGCTTTATATGCTCCTGGTGATAATCATCATGATGATTATCTATATTTGTCGCTCATTTACTGAAGTCGTCTACGTCATCTTCCCCTTCAGCGTCCATTATTTCCACAAAACGAGGCCTTCTTTGTCTCTCGCTCAGTTCCATTCCTTGCGTGTCACGGCCATATCTTTTGTGTACACTTCTGCCTGGGTCAATCAAAGTTCCACACGCACAGGCGACCAGCTGGGAAAGGCCGCCATCCACGTTGAACTAGACCTGGTTTCTGCGGCCGATCAATCATCCCCTACACATCCTCGGAATGTGACAGCTGTCGATACGATCAAACAGCAACGATCCACGCCAAGAGGAACCCTCGGCGATGAATCTGTCATTAAGTCTCTGGACAGCAGGATGGCATGTGGCCATGCTTGCCAGTCACTGAGTGGCAATGGGCGAATGGCTTCACAGAATGTGTGCGATGTGGCAGCGAACACAGTCTTTGATTGTGGGATTTTTGTGCTGGAGTGCTCTCTCTCTCTCTCTCTCTCTCTCTCTCTCTCTCTCTCTCTCTCTCTCTCTATCTATCTATCTATCTCTCCCCCTCTCTCTCGTTGTCAGAACTGTATTTTCTATCATCAGCATCACCGTTCTGTTGTGCTATAATATATCACATAGGGCTCATAGTCTATTCATTCAATCCGTTCTATCCTTGCGATATCCTACTTTGAATCTTGTTCAGCACCGATTTTCCTTCTCAGCAGCGTTCATTTCAGCTTCAAGTCTGCTTGAGGGTATTGTAAAATCAAACTACCATCAATGTCCACTCCATACCAGACAGTATTTTCTGACACTCATGAGACTACACCTCGCTGAAGTTATCATTGCTCTTCTCCTAGCAGGTAGGCACAAGGTGCTGCAAGCGACGTCATATCTCAAGGTAGCTGCAGACACAGATCACCCTTTGCACCAAGCTCTGGACGCGGAAAGGAGGGAAGTCGTGGATGGCTCAAGCAGAAGACACAATCAGACAGTTCTTCAAACTCAAGAATATTAGGTGAAGAGAGAAGTGGG